TAATAGAAAAGCGATCGGGAGGGGCTTAAGTCTTCTTTGAAAGTCAGTTTTTTAAATACAGGGTTTCTGTGTGATACCCGTCATCGCCAGTGGCAATTCTCAAAGTTGGCAAAATTGAGTTTTATTGATTAAGAATTATGTAAAACAATCGATATCGATATCGATATCGACAGGTAGCCTAATGCCTCGCCTAGAATCGATCGGTGATGATGGAGTTAATTGGAGGAAGAACGGTGTTGCCAACACAAACTGCCAGTTATATAAGAACAACAGTGGCGTGGCGCGATTTGCGATATATCGATTGATTTGTCATTTAAATATGTGGAAAAAGATCGATTTACAGGGTGTCCGCACCGAACACCTTAATAATCGATTCTTTAGCACAGTTTCAAATGGGGAAATATCGATAATCGATTACTCGCGCCTCGCCACTGAAGAACAAGATCTGTAAGAAATATTTAGTAGCCAGTAGTTCATCTCCGGCAGTGTTTATCATTCGGCAGAGGAACCTCATGCATGATTGGGCTGCATGTTTTAATTAGGAACTACAATTTTTGACTCATTTTAGAAACAGCATGTATGCCATAAGTTTCCCTATCCAGGCACGCGCTTTTATAGATGAGCCTTAAATTACATTTTCTACCTCCTAATTGCAAAATGTAGTCCCATTAACACTAAAAGGGAGCTATATAATAATGCTCACTTGGATTTCCTGGGGATCTCATACGATCAGGTTTCTAGTATCCGCCATCGTTCTTTTTTTAGCCGTGTGGGTATTTAATAATGCTCATAGTGGTACGCAAGATGATCTCATCGAGAATATCTGATGAGGATGTGCGACGTACGAACGATTTAACGACTTTGGTGAGAGTCTGAAATTTTTAAGGTTCCAAATGAAGAACGTTGGAATTCCTCGAATTTGGTGGCCAGAGATTTTGATCCGTCTTGACAATCAAGTCTCCCGGAATACAAGTGAACTTCAAATTTTTCAAATCAATCGGCGCGTTATATAATATTGTACTGCGCACTGTTCAAGTAGGTGCCCACCCTGCTTGAAACCGGTTTTGTGGCGCATTATCCGAAGTACAATTGTACTTTTTTGGAAAGCCTCTTCTATCCTCTTCATTTGTTCTCCAAGCTGTTGAATTTTTGAATTTTTAGACTTGTGGTTTTTATTCGCCTTTAAAGTTTGCTCTCGTTATCTCCGATATGTTCCCTTTGTGCGGAAACCAATTTTGGGCGTGAAAGTTAGGATAACTCACCTTTATCACGATTGCCTTTATAATGGCAAGGTCCCAGGCAAATTGCAAAGTCAATCATTTTGCGAAATGCGTAAGCTATTGCAGAAGCATTTTATCGAAGCTTTCACGATTTGTCAAATACTGAGTCAGTTTTAATCATTTTTTAATAGTTGAGATTCTCATACTTCGGATTTCACTCCGATATTCCGTCGCTCCTCGGCGTGAGGGCGTTTCACAATTTTCACATGAGCCCTAGAAAGCTTGGATTTATATTACGATAGGGCTCACATGGAAATTGAGATACGCCCTTACGTCAGAGGGTTGACGATTTATGACAATTTAAAGTTTTCACGACTGCACTAAGGAACTATACGAATATACTAAGGGAAAACGCCGTATGAGCCTTCACACGTTGCCAAATTTACTTCGAAAAACGGATTTTCTGGAGAACGGGAGAAAAAATCCCTTCCAATTTTTCATGTATTTTTATTCGCATTTTTATCCGAAAGATGAACATTTCAAGAAAAATTATTAAAAGCTACCGTCAAAAATAACCAATTAATCGCGAGAGACTTGGCAACATTCGAATGTTCATACGGCGTTTTTCCTTAGCACGGCAGCACAAGAAAGACTTCAGGGACGAGTACTGCCGTTCTAAGGAAGAACGCCGTATGAACATTCGAGAGTTGCCACATTTCCCTTGTTAAAAGACGTATTTTTGACAATATTTATGCATATTTTTCCTTGAAATTTTCAGATATTCAAGATTAAATTGCGTACAAAATTGTCTGAAAGTTTTGGAAAATAATATTTGCAACTCTCCCTGTAAATTCGATTTTTATTGGTGGAAACTTGGCAACGTCTTGAGGCTCATACGGCGTTCTTCCTTAGCACGGCAGAGTAGTCCTCACGCTGTCTATGAAAATACTTGAAATCTCAGTCTGTGCAGCAGAAAAAGCCTCGTCATGAAAAGCGCTCGTGTGCACCAAGAGTCGAAAAAGCCAGCCGTGATATCTTTTTCTTTCGAAGTCGCGCTAATGTATGGAGTTTTTTTTCAAGGTCAGCGATGGTGTGCGTGTGGTGCGCGCCTGCGCGTCCGTTCCGTCGCACGAGTCGGAAATAGGCATCGTCTTCCCGGCTCCTGCGTTGTCTGTTTTCCTCCGATTACGGGCATATTAGCGCTGACCGTTCGATAGACATATTTACATCCTGCTCGGATCTAATCACAGGTTCGATCGGCGAGGCCGAGCGCGGAGACACCCTCGCTCCTTCCGCGCGGAAACGTTTTGATGGGTCTTAAAAATTATCGTCGAAATCATCGCAACGTCCCAACTCGCAACATGACTCACGATCGGCTCATTTTCATACGTCGACGACTTGCGTGCGACCCACAGTGGTCAGGCAAGTGCTTAAATTCGGCTCTTAGCGTAGGAAACCAAGCGGATCATCTTCAAATTCCGCGGCTCATATTTGCCACGCGATTAGGGATGTTTAAGTGGAAACTGCACCGTTTCCGGACTTTTCCCGAGAAAGTTTCCGGGAATGCCCCGCGAAATTGTACTTTTCCGGAAAATGTTGACCGAAAAACACACAAGCATGCACAAAAACACGGTAATCGCCCACCTTTCGTATAGCCACTGAGAACGCCCCTCGGAACTTCCCGCCTGTGCTACATGCGAATACAACTATTGCGACTCGGGAGGACCCGCTTTTGCCTATCTTCTTAATTGAAGGCGAATCAAGTGGCTATCAAAAAACTTCACGCAACAGGTACCCTGCACTCTGGCATTCAAGGAATGTAAGGCATCTAAGGAAAATAGAGTACTCAAGGAAAAACGTCGTATGAACCTTCAGGCGTTGCCAAATTTCCCTTGGCAAATCACTAGTTGTCAGGAAAATTTTTGAATATTTTTCTGCCAATTTCTCAGATAATTTTGTTCGTAATTTGATCGAAAACTTCTAAAAATTTCAAGGAACAATATTCACAGTTTTCCTAAAAAATAAACATTTTAGGAAATTTAGCAACTCTCGAGTGTTCATACGACGTTCTTCCCTAGCACATCAGTACTGGCCTCCTGGGAATAATCGCGCTATCATGACCTATGAGCCACAATTAGGTACGGGAGCATTTTTTCGTCGGATAGTGACCGGAATGGAGATAATGCATGTGTGAGGGATTTGCGATTTGACAATTGATTCGTAGGTAAAAGTTCGCGAGAAATACGATGGTGCCACTGGTTTTCTCTGAAATCAACTCCCAAGCTAAAAAAAAGCTCTCGAGATGAAGCCAAAATGGAGGGGATATCCCACGCTATCCTGAGAGTCCACCTCTACATCAAGACAAACTCTCCATGCAACGATAGGGAGCAAATACATTAGCAGGGTTGCCGTTTTCTCAGTTTTAAAGTCCCCAAATAAAAAGGCAGCCCTGTCAATATATTCGCTCCCTATCTTTGCATGGAGAGTTTGTCATGATGTAGAGGTGAACTCTCAGGATAGCGTGGGATATCCCCTCCATTTTCGCCTCAACTTGAGAGCCTTTTTTGAGGTTGGGAGTTGATTTCAGAAAAAACCAGTGGCACCATCGTGTTTCTCGCGAACTTTTACATGAAAATAAACAGTCAAATCGCGAATTCCTCACACATGCAACATCTCGATTCCAGCCGATCGAGGAGCCGTAACCACCGTGCGAACGCGAATGGTCCCAGTCGCTCATCGTGCAAGGGCCGACTTCGTAACTGTAAACGCTGCCTTACTTTGAATTGATTCTAAGGTCATCGGTTCTGTAAAGCTTATTCATTCAGTGCCTACGTGACTTTTTTCGCTTTGATTATACATTCCCTCGTCTTTTTTTGCTTTTTTCCCCCGACGCTTTTCCACAATTTCCCCAGAACTCGTCATTTTCCAGACGATAGAACGCACCTCCATTCCACGGTTACAAAATTGACTTACAAATTCTGTTGTTTACAAGATCGTGACAATGCAATTTTCTTTCGCAGCAAAATCATTTCAATTTTTATTTCAAGCAGAATTTTTTTTTTCCTAACTACAATTTACCAGTGGAAATTTCGCAATTTTGAAATGTACTTGCGTTCTTTTGACCGCGAAACTTCGAACTATCATGTCACTTAGCCAACCGATCTCGACAGAGAGGGGTACTTGAAAGGGGGAAAAAATTAAAGTAGGGACCATGCTGCCGCATTTACGCTGGGAAAAAAAAAAAAAAAAAAAAAAAAAAAAAAAAAAAAAACACCGCACAGGCATTCGAATATTGACAAATTTACTTCGACCAATCGGACTTCATTTTGCAAAATTAGGAGCTGCAATTTCTGGTTCATGCGTAAAAACACTTATTTACCTAAGGTAAACAATGGTACGTACACGTTGTTTCTAAAGTGAGCCAGAAATTATAATTCCGAATTACTAAATGCAATCCAATTTTTCCCCAATAACCCTCTAAAGCCCCAGTCTCAAATAACAAGCTAATTTTAAGAGGCACTCCTCATACCTAGATTACGGTTACATTTTCTACGTATTTGATGCATTTAAAAACATCATGTATGTGGTCTTTTATTCTCATGTAAGTCTTTCAGGCAGTGCTGAATTTAGTCTAAATGTCTCAGTAGACGTAGGTTGAAATACGAGGGCATAGATTTTGAATTTTTTTTTATTGAAACTAAGTATCTTTAAATTTAATGTGCTTCGTCAAAAAAATATTTCTTAAAAGAGTCTAATGCATTGTTGCATCTTTTGTTTCAGGTGTTCGGGTTGGGAAACAAAACTTATGAACACTACAACGAAGTTGGTATTTACGTAGACAGGCGTCTGGAAGAGCTTGGCGCTACCAGAGTATGTGAACTGGGTCTTGGAGATGACGACGCGAAGTAAGTATGTTTTCTAGGTAATCTCAGATTCTATGGGAAGAGGTTGAAATCACCCCCTATAGCTTGCAGCTTCCTCTGCTGCAAGGAAGTTTACAGAAATAAAGAGAATGATTATTTAAATGACAGAAACCTTGCTTGAAAAATGTCGAATTATGCTTTTATCGATTGCTGAAGTGCGACTCCTCAGATCTATATTGCGGTGTTCCAAAATCATTTCAAAATCTCCGCTCCTAGCTTATTTTTTCTAAAGAGAACAACTCAGCTTTATAGCTGGAAGTTTACGCAGAATATTCTCAAACAGAAAAGGAAAATCAAGGGAGTTTTCAAAAAATTATGTTGACTTATCCAAGGAAAATATAAAGTATGACTGTAAGCCTACCTTGTTGCAAATAGAGATACATGGTCTCCCGCTTTATCCATCAATATTTTAACATTACTACCAAATTCTTCTCTTACCTTGCAGTACCTGTTTCCTTTTCCAATTTGCTACTATTAAAAGGAAGGAAGTAGTAGTAGTAAAATAATTTTATTGGAGGAAGAAAGAAAGAAAGAAAGAAATCTGAACGTTTACCGCACCTGTTTCCTTTTCCAATTTGTCAGTATTAAAAGGAAGAAAGAAAGAAGGAAAGAAATCTGAACGTTTACCGCACATTACATTTACTTTTCACCTAAATGGCATGTTGAAACATTTTGGGCTCAGAAGATTAAAAAATATTGGCATCCGTTTCAAATTTGAAACTACATGGTCTCTTGTTTGGAAAACAATAACAATTTTCTCTATTTTGTTTGAAGAGTTTGAATTCAATTTTATGAATTTTTCTTTTACAGCATCGAGGATGATTTCACTACTTGGAAAGACAAATTATGGCCAGCTGTCTGCGACTACTATGGAATTGAAGCAACTGGAGAGGAAGGTAGTGTGCGTCAGTATAAATTAACGGAACATACGGATATCTCTCCTGACAGAGTCTACACTGGAGAAGTCGTCAGATTGCATTCACTCATCAACCAGAGACCGTAAGCTTTATTTGTTTTTATGTTCCTCTCTATAAGGAAAGAATTAAGAATCATTTTTGAGAAAACATAGCTTCTTAGCTTGTTTTTTTTTTATGGAAAATTCTGACTTAACTGTCATGGAAAAAGGACCTCAGTGCTCAGAGTCTTATTATGGAAAGTAATTTTATATTACAACGTTGTAGGTTCCTTGATCGGCATGTTTGTTGGATTGACCTTTTCCTTATTTTTTGCTGGATGTGTTACGGTTGTCGTTTTTTTCTTCTTACATCACTAAGGCCATTTTGACTTCCGATCAACCATTATCAAGTTATCAAATGGAATTAAATATAACCAAAAGTAAAAACAACAACAAAAAAACTAAAAATTTGGGACTGTATCACCGGTCTGGTACAAAATCGAGTTTCATGCAGCGCTGTTGATGAGGCTCCAAATTTCAGCTTTTGCTATTTTCGCATTTCTTTTAGTTTCATTTCGTTCATTCAATCGATGTTGGCTAATTAGTAGTCCTAATGGCCGTAATGGTGTACATGATAAGGAAAAGCGTTTCCTGCTACAGAGTGTAGAATCCTGAACCTGGAGACAGCCATTGCTGTTTCGATAAAATTTTGAAAAGAGAGTGCTGCATATAATTTTGTGTACAGAACATGAACATTTTCTGCAGAAAAAGTATAAGAAAAATTTTAATTGTGCCTGGAAAACTCAAAAACGTAATGTTATGAAAGGGGCTGAGAACCCTGTTACGGTTTGAATGTGGATGCTAAAATGTTGGTAAAACTCTATACGCAACGGTATGAGTATCTCAATTTTGATTTTTTTGGCTCTGACGTCGATTTCCTTGTAGAAGGTCACAAATGATGGTAACTTTTCAATGTTGTAAAATGACATGCATGCTCTTGTACTTGGCCTATTAATGTTGCCTAAAATAACACTCTTTGACCTAGCCTCTGCAGTAGATCCATTGCAGATGTCTTTACCTGAGGAGTGTTTAGTGGAGCAATCTCTAAACTCTACACAATAATTACCATATGATGAATAAAGATGAAGAGGATGTACAATCACAATGGCTGTGAATTTTAGTTGCGTTCAGCCAAAATATTATCAACTCATTGGAGGCGGAGGCTTGAATTTAATGAATAAAAATGTCCCACCTAACTGACCTACATCCTCATAATATTCAAAGTACATTTTTTATAGCCCCTCTGTCTAATTATAATAGATTGTAAATAATAAAGTAGGGGCTCTTCCTAAAATACGTAACACTCAAAAAGGGAGGAGAGGGGGCGTTTCCGCATTCATTACAGGGAAGAGGGTGTTCAGAATCGTATGATGTAACACTAAAATGGGCGCATATTGCTGATTTTTCAAAAATCTAAGATGAAAAATCGACATAAGTTGATAATTTGTCATTGAAAATTCTTCATAAAATGCTATTCTGAAGGGGGGGGGAGGGTTCAAACAAAGCAAAGGGGGACGCAGACCTGTGTTACAGGTGCAAAGGAGAGAAGGGGAGAAAAATTAAGATATTCAGCGTTTGTATTCTATAAACGGCCCCTAAAAATGTTCAAAAATTGCAAAGAATAAACAATCTGTTAAAGGATTTGTGCTCCATGTAATCATTTCACTCTCACTCATGCATACTTTGGGAAAGTTGCATTTTATATTTATTTTAATTTATTTTATTCAGGCAATTTGACATGAAGAACCCTTACCTGGCGCCTATTCGAGTGAACAGAGAACTTCATAAAGGCGATAGTGACCGTTCCTGCATGCATATTGAATTTGACATCGATGGATCTAAGATGAAATATGATACAGGTAATCACTAATTTTTAGTTATTCTTATCCTACTATTTTTTTTTAACTAATGCAAATTTTACTTCTAGAAATTTTCAAATTGCCGGTAAAATACTTTTGAAGAGCATTTTTTTACGTTCTTATCATATTACCTCTTTTTAATAACTAAGTCAGGGCTTGTTTGTAAGGCATGGAAATCTTTGAAGTAACATCTGAAGTTTAATTGTGTGTTTCTAGTCATTTGAAACACAAGCGTCAACTTCTTAAGTACCTAGGATACCTCAAGATTTTATTTGTCATCTTGTTAGTAGGCACTTGAACCCACAGTGCAAAAAATATGCAAAAGTGGGCAAACTTTGGTGAACTATTCAACCAATCAAGTAAAATTGACCTACGAATCTGAAGATACACAGATACACCTCAGTTTAATGAGTGTGACGTTAGGCAAAACCAATTAATGGAATCTCATTATGAGATGAGAGGCGCAGGAAGTTTCCAACTGTTTCACCAGATTTGGTGTTTTCTTCCTTACTTCCCTTGAGAAATCTTTATTTTCCCGGTGTTTTGTTAATACCATACCTGAAACTGTTGTCAATATTTCTTCTTTTCTTTCTACCTTTGCTCTTCAATTTGGAAAACATCTCTGAATGAACCATGCTTTGTCTCATTTCATGTGATCAGATAGATTCCATACATCTTCCAAAAGTTATTATGGAAGAGGAGACTATCGAATGATTGGAACTTAGTGGCTCTGGACCATGTGAAAAATAGAAGTTTCCTCTCTGATCATTAAATCTATAAATTGCATGATTGAGCACTTTTGTATTCCCAAACGAGATCAATTTTTTTAAGGTCTAACAGGAAAATGTTTAGAATTGAATGCTTTCCATTCTAAGACAATTGTGATTTTTTTATTTTCAGGTGACCATTTAGGAGTCTATCCACACAATGATCCAGCTCTGGTCCAGAAAATAGGTGATATGGTGGGTGTCAATCTAGACGTGGTGTTTACTCTTACCAACACTGATGGTTAGTAATGTTTTATTGTCTTGGATTTGCCAAAAAAAAGCAGAATAAGAACTTAAGTATGAAACCTAAGAACTTAAGAACCTATGGTTGAGTCATACTTTTAGATGTACAGATGGAAATTAAACTATTAGAAGTAGGTACCTACCTAGTCTTCAAATTAATATTTTAAAAAGACATAATGTTGACAATTTTTCTAATTTCACGCTGATATAAATACATATTGTATGGCTAAATGTGAAAAACGCAATGGACCACTAGACAAGGTACGAATTTCAGCATTCTGATACATGTTTCCTGACCAAAATTTCACGTAGAACACGATACGCACAACGAAAATTACCAAAACTAACTCCTTACGAAGATATTTAATGATTCTTGATGCGTGAATTGAAACCGCCCGCTCATGAAAACTCAATGCTCTACGTGATTCACATCGCGCGCTAAACGTTATCATCAACGTCTCAGCGATATATAAATCTGGCAACCTTAGTCCTGACGCTTTGGCTCAGCTATAGCAAATTGCTTATAGTTTGAACAAACATGGTGGGAAATGAACATTGCTCGATTTAGAAGCTTGCTGAAACCGTTTTAGTGCGCGATTTGACTCACATAGAGCTTTGAGTTTCTTGTGAGCGGGTAGTTCAAATTCCTCGTAACTGATGTGACATAAAAACGTTAATATCTTCGCTAAGAGTTGGTTTTAATAACTTTTGTCGCGCGAATCGTATTCTGCGTGAAATTTTGGTTCAGTAACATGTATTGGAATGCTAAAATTCGTACCCTGTCTAGTGGTCCATTGTAACCTTTAAAAAGCTTTGATTATTTTTTACTTTCTTTTAAGAAAACTAATCACAGTATTTCCCTGCAATTTTGTATGATTTCTTTTAGAATGAAGAAAGAAAATTCAAGAAGATTTCAATATAAAATGTTAATTTGTTCTCCTTTAAAAAATGAAACATACAAGAAGACTTACAATGTCTCAATCTGAGACGTGCATCTTGCGACTTTAACTTTTATGTAAGCAAGCCAAAAATCCTCATAACTCCATCAATATTGAAATGATAAATCATTGGTTTTCCAATATTTATTTTCTGCACCAGCCTTTTTCTACTCTTCTTGGGTTGTTCCATTGAATAAATATATTATTAAAAACCAGAGTAAAGTTCCAAGTTCTTTCATCAGATGTAGGTGTAACCAATTTTCATCATCTACCGTCATAATGACTTTAAAGTGAGTGAAATAAATTAACATGTGTTTGATATTCTTAATTTTATTTTTCAGAGGAATCAAGTAAGAAGCATCCTTTTCCGTGCCCATGTTCTTACAGAACAGCGCTTACCCATTATCTTGATATTGGCTCTAATCCCCGTACTCACATTCTGAAGGAATTGGCCGAGTATGCCACGGATCCAAAGGTAAATATCCTGTATTTTGTAATCAACTCAAATATATCACTGAGTATGAATAACAAAAAAGATTTGGAGGCATATTTGTAAAAAGTGACAGCTATTATTGAATCCAATCTATTGTCTAGTTGTATCTTCTGAATTATCTGCTAGATCATTCATTCCCTTCATCGGAAAGGAAGAGAAAAAAAGGGAAAATAGAATACGCTTTGGATTATGGTAGAGATTTATTAGAATATGATCTCTGAGACTCTCTTAGTGCATGAGTCCATTGTAGGAGTAACTTGTACTTGAAAATTTCAAGGAGTTATTTTAGTTAATTTTATTGTGAAAAAATGAAAATTATCAGAGATCTTAAACCATTTTAATATCAATACGCATTTTTTGACATCAGCCATCGATGTGTAATTCCATCCACTAATTCTAATTCACCTTTTTTAGTACAGATAGCCAAAATGTTACTTCCTCGCCTCAGTATTAAGAAATCTTGATTATTTGAACGAAGTGGCTATTCGTCGGTACGGTACCGACGGATAAATGGCTATTCGTCGGTACGGTACCGATGAATAAATAGCTATTCGTCGGTACCGTACCGATGAATAAATAGCTATTCGTCGGTACCGTACCGATGAATAAATAGCTATTCGTTGGTACCGTACCGATGAATAAATAGCTATTCGTCGGTACCGTACTTTGATTTTAGTACATAAATTATATTAAAGATATGATTTCTTAATAATATTTTGGTGGAAGTTAAGAGCTAAAAATTGGGTGAAAGATGGGAAAAAAACCGAGCACGAGTTGTAAAGAAATATTCTCCAAATTTAATTTATGTATTTAATACTCTCACATAATACTGAAATGTACTACTCTGTCAAAAGAATCATCAAGAACGCTTCTTTTTCGGGTGGTGGGGCCTTTAGTTTCATTTGCAGGTGTTTTCTTTCGTTTTCGTTTTTCGGGGGGATTTTCCACAGATTGTCGGTCGGCAACGGTGCGATTAAAGGAACAAAGTTGTTTTGCTGGCAGTTTAGGTCGCCCTCGTGAAATGACTTTACTCTTAAATTTTAGCTTCGTGAAGCTCTCTGCACTGACATTTTCGTCAGATGGAGCAGCAACAGAAACCGAAGATTCGCTAGTGGTGGAATAGCTCTCTGCACTATGATCGTTGTTAGTTGGGGCAGCAACAGAAACCGAAGATTCGCTGGTGGTGGAATAGCTCTTTGCACTATGATCGTTGTTAGTTGGGGCAGCGACAGATACTGAAGATTCGCAAGCCTTGGAGCAGCTACCATGAACTGACAATAGTTGTACATTTGTAGCACTTAGTATCTCCGTGTAATTACAACAGAGCACCATAGATGGTGTTTGCTTGTCCATTCGGACCAAGGCTTGACAACACATTTTTATTAATTAATGTCGCCGATGCGGTACCGACGAATAGCCATTTATTCATCGGTACGGTACCAACGAATAGCCATTCATTCTTATTTGAATTCCTATATCTAAGGATCTATAATTACTCATTTCTAAAAATATATTCTCCACAGATAAATCAATTTTATTGCGGTTCATGTTAAAAATTGTAATTTCAACTTGAAAATTTTAGGCTGTGAATAAAATTGTATAATTATTCCTGATTTTTCCATAGGAACAAGAACAGTTGAGACAAATGGCCATGACCTCAGTTGAAGGAAAGCAACTGTATAACAAATGGATAATTGAAGACAACCGTAATATCGTTCATATTTTGGAAGATTTTTCATCCTGCAAGCCTGCAATAGACCACCTCTGTGAACTTCTCCCACGGTTACAGGCCCGATACTATTCAATTTCATCATCACCAAAAGTGAGTCCTTTCTCTTTCTTATATTCTTTGTTTCAAATTGTACGGTACTTAAAGAGGCGGCTGCAAATACAAGCCCTTATGCAAAAACCTTGTGAAAATCTCGTTTTGAGAAAATCCATTTGAAGTTTAAAACTGTCAATGACTCGTTTTCTCTTTTGTTTTTCTCTAGACTTATCTGTAAGGGTTACTTACAAGGGGACTTATAGTTATCAACAACTAGTCGACCACAATGAAAGCCCCAAACTTATCGTCTCAAAATGGAATTCTTGTAGTGAAGAGAGAAGAATGAGAAAGGAAATGGTTGAAGAAGGATTTTTGAGCTGAAGATAGTGCCTCTTGGGATTGTCTAAATTTATTTGAAAATAAGTCGAAGTATATAAATAAGAAAAAACCTACAGGTTTTTTTCCCTAGAGTCGTATTTACAATGATAATTTCTTTTGCAGCTGCATCCAACATCAGTTCACATTACAGCTGTAAAAGTAGAATACACAACACCTACTAACAGAGTGAACAAGGGTGTGTGTACAACGCTTCTGAGTCAGAAAGTTCCATCGCCGAACCCTAATGAACCCATTCCCAGGATGCCAATCTTTGTCAGGAAGTCGCAGTTCAAGTAAGTGTCCATTTTTATTGATCTCTATTATTACGGTAAGTATTTAATCAGAGCTTAAAATCATACATAGTAATGATTAATTTGGCAGAATTGTGTAAACTTGAATTTTGATAATTTAGAATCTTCAGTCGAGAGTCTGCCTTACCGTTCGAAAAGATGAAACTTTGTGTATTTTGAGAGTTTTATTTCGACGGTGAAACTACCAGACCCCGTATCTCGGTTTGCAATGTCACAGACATCCTGTCATACTTTATTTTTTTGGTGGAAAATTACCCAATGTCAATTTTTTAAAATTTCTGTAACTCTCTGTCTTTCTGTGACGAAAAATCTGTGATTACTTTAACGGAAGATATTAGTTTGTTCTCTTTTACAAAAATAAAATGGGAACGGGGATTTTTAAACACCACAAACGAGATACCTGGTCTGTTAGTTTCACTATTGATTTGCATTGAAATATACAGTGCATCACAAGGGGTGAAGTGTCACTGTCTGCACAGGTAAGTGAATCCAGGCTTGGAACTTCGCGATTTGGCCACCACGTCGCGCTGCTCAGAATAGCCGCATATATTTGCCAAAATAATAACAACCGTAATACTTACTCTAGATTAGAGATCCAGGGGATATGGCAACATACTTGAGGAACACTCAGTAAAAAAATCTTCTCAAAATTCCCAAAAATAAAGTCTTAACTACGGCGGAAAGTAATTCCCATTGCGGCAATGGGAGAGAGAGAGAGAGAGACAGAACATGAGGGATTCCGTTGCGCGCTCGGCTGCCGTCTCTGAGCTTTAAGTTTCAGCCGTACTTTCTCTGCGCTTGTAATTCTAATTGCCAATATTTTTGGCTCAAAAAATCCAGCAAAAATTAATCTATATCTTGTGGATCTGCTTTTTGTAATTCGAGGAATATTATTTCAGTAATCGTTGAAGGAAAGTGAAATTCTCAGTGGGGACTGGTGGCGCTATCTCTAATCTTGAATTATCCCTAATCGGACCCTGGATTCACCTTAATGCCCCCAAGGCTAAAAGCTGGTCTTAAAAAATGATGCCAGATGCCCCTGAGATCTGTACCAATAGCAAAAGTTTTAGGAAAAAGCAAACTATGATTGTGATTTTTGAAGTACCATTGCTGCTCTACCTTTGGTGGAATAAAATCCCTAAAGATCTTATGTCTTTCTGTAGATAGATAATGAGGATTTTATCGTTAATCTCGTGAATTTTTGCTTGATCTTTTTTAAAATGATCCTGTATGATTATATCCTCTAATATTTTTCCAGGCTTCCCACCCGGACACAAACTCCCATTATCATGGTTGGGCCAGGAACTGGTCTTGCTCCATTCAGAGCTTTTATTCAGGAACGTGCTTTCACAAAAAAAGAGGGTATGTTGGAAATTAAGAATGTCGGAGGAGAGATTGCCCAAACAAGTTTTGGATTGGGTACCACCTGGGAAGAGGCGACGGGGACATCCTGTAAAGGGATGGCGGCAGGGTGTTGACGAAGAGATGTTGCGGTGTCAGTTGCCCGATAACCTCTCGGAGGATAGGCATATGTGGTGTTTGGGTGTGGCAGAACGCCAGAGTGCATTGTAGGAGCGACTTTTTTATATATATAAATATGTTGGAAATTGGACTGTTTTTTTATCATTACCTAAACCATTGACTTAAAGCAATGACTCTGAATAGTTCGCTCTACACCACACCAGTTCTAAACGGATGACTAGGAACCGTTGGTCGTTTTGGCAGTAATGCGTATGATATACAGATTATGCTACAAAAGACCTCTCTTGTCAATGTTTATATGAGTTGTGCGAAACTTATTTTTTCTAGTAATCAACTGCTTTGTCATGGTATTTTCATATTAAATTATGGTTGAACTCATCATTAACTCATATTCTTCCGATTTTGCGATTTTTGTTATTTTGACAGGCGATCTGTTGATCTATGTCTGAATGAAATGAAATTATTGTGACTAATTTTTCTTCCTGTCTCCTCAAAGAACTTGCAATAAATGCGTAGTGTGTAAATTTTTAACCTCAGAAAATTATGAAATCAGCTTTGACTTATTTCCAAGTGTTCAAAGGAACTGATTTTTACATTTTTAAACATGAATTTTAGCTGCAGCAGGAACTGTTTAGACAAATTCAATACAATATTCAATATTTTTTCAACGTATGCTGAACCTTTTCTTTGATAACTTTCTTTTCATCTCAGGAAAAACTGTCGGTGACACAATCCTATACTTTGGATGTCGAAAGAAGAGTGAAGACTTCTTGTATGAGGAAGAACTCAATGAATATGTTAATAACGGAGATTTGAAGGTAAGCTTTGATGTCTTCATTTTTAATAGTAAAGTGAAATCTTGCACTATGGTTGAGACAGAAAGCCGCCGAAGCCGAAATTTTTTCAGGTCCTTAGATACTGCCATAAGGCGTAGGTTTATAGAAGAAACTTTGATTGGCATGCTGTAAAAAAGTTTTATTTAAAAATTATCTAATGCTCTCATCGATTTCCTCATGCCACGCACAAGCCTTTTCTGTGCCCCTGATTGAATCACCCCAATCAATCTGATGTATTTTTGCAATGGTTAAAGGGTTTGAAATTGAGGCGTTGGGCACAGAAAGAGCATCTCTTGGTTGCGGTGTTTCAGAATCTCCACTGTTAATTTTTATCTCAGACAAAAAAAAAAAAATAATGGCCCGAAACTGTATGTAACCAGGTGGAGAAATGGTGCGGGATTCGTCGTTTTCCAGTTTTCCTTGTTTTGTCATGAGAGTTGTTCAACAACGACGGTAGCTGGCACAAGCATCACACTTTTGTCTCATGCCTCAGGTCATATTCATGATTTAATGCCGTCTTGGATTTTTTGGGATGCTAAATTGGGTTCACTGACGAGTGTGATCTACTGATGAGGTCTAAAAAGACCCAAAACGTTATAGATCTCTCGGCCTGATCTCAACTTAATATTCCAATGCAAACTGCCTGAGCTGAATACTCTCCCCCTCAATTTTGTACTGGTACTTACTAGAATTAAATTTTTTTTAATTTCTCGGTTTTGGCTTCCCTGCGAAATGGTATGGACCCAGCACCATTTCTCCACCTTGCTCATATCTTAGAGATGGAACTGTCTGATGAATTTTCTGGAATTCTTTGCTCAGAGCGTTGTAAAATTAAAGCGCATTCAGTAAAAGTTTTGACAAATCACATTATTACATTTGCTTTAATCATAATGAATGGAACGTTAGCATCAATTTAGAGACAATGTATCTGAGAAGTCTTCTCTCTGCATCCAGTGCTTTAATTATAGCCAAGCATTTTTTTTTTTTTTTTTTTTTTAGGAATTCTTAAAATTCAAAACTTGATGAATAATAATTATTCTGTATCAAACCCTCATGAATGCTTTGTTCCCAATAGATAGTTACTGCTATTAAGAAGATGGAGGCAAATCGTGAATTCTTGTGAATTTACGTATTGATCAGAGCTCATGCTTTTCTCATCAATTTTAGGTTTCTAAACTCTATCTCAGTCTGAAGATTTTTATCAAAATGTCATAAAAATTGCACAAATATGAGAGAGAGGTCAGCAAATTACCATTCTCTCCTTTATGGTTTATCAAGCGTTGTAAGCGTTGTCCAGTGCCATCAGAAATGAAGCCCCACTCTCTTACGTGGCCTTCATTTTCAGCTGAAATTCAATTTGTTAACAATGCTTCCAAGATTTAATGTTTTTATTTTTCTTTGTTCCTCAAGCTTCATGTTGCCTTCTCACGAGAAAGTGCACAGAAAGTTTACGTCACACACCTACTGGAAAAGAACAGCGATGAGATTTGGAATGTAATTGGAGAAAATAATGGCCACTTTTACGTCTGTGGGTAAGTGCAACCTAGTCATAAATTTCATGAATAAAACAGTCGTATGATAATAAAACTTAGCCGGCGCTGAAATCCTTGGTTTTCCGTGCAGGGTCTTTTGAATGAAAATAATTTTTCTTGCACTAAAGTTATGGCCTTCCTTTTCATGAGTCTCCATCTTTGTTTCTGTTACGGAGAGGAGAGGGAGAACTTCAAAATAAGTTGCTTTGATATTTTTTAGCACTTATTGCCGAATGTCTGTAAGTAAAATGCTCCTCCAAGCTGTGGTACCGCACCAATGGAGAATTTGCAGGTGTTCTAAATTTGATAAATTTTGTGTTTGAGTGGAAACTACTGAGTGAACTGAACACGACAAAATCCTGGTTCATAATTTAAACTATTATTGGAGGAGATATGACAAATTGATCTAATCTCCTAAAAAACATGTGTTTAAATGGGAAATGCTGCCAGATGACGTCAGTGGCAGTGCATTTTCTCACTTGTAAATCTATTTTTATACTATTTCCCATATCAGAAAAAATTATAAAAAATACTGTGAAATCAGCTCTTTGAGCACTATCAGATGAAGCAATAAAAAATTTGCATGCAAATTCTCCATTCATGCATTGAACTTTCTGAGTACATTCACTAAAACACTTGTGTTTAAATGGGAAATGGTGCCAGATAAAGTCAGTACAGCAGCAATAAAAAATTCGCGTGCAAACTCTCCATTCATAATTTTGAGTTTTCAATGAAACGATCTCTTCTTTGAGACAGTCACAGCTCGAAGTCAACATCCAAGTTTCATCACTAATGTTCTATTTTCCCCCCGATTCGCTCCATCTAATTTCTATCAAAGCTCAATACATAATTGGACTAAATTTTGCGATCAGGAACTGAAAATTCTGGCTCGGTTCAGAAAAAACGTATGAATCATTAGCTTCCCTATTCACATAAGTGTTTCTATGGATGAACCAGAAATGGAAGTTCCTAAACACAAAATGAAATCCAATCATCATCAATTTTTTGCTGCATTGACTGAAACTAATTGTCATGAATTCTCAAGTTTTCCATTTTCATCGCTAACACATGTTCTTTTTGTTTCAGGGATGCCAAAAATATGGCCAAAGATGTGCACAATATTGTCTTGAAGGTTGTCCAAGAGAAAGGTAACATGACAGACAGTCAAGCGCTTGCATACGTGAAGAAAATGGAGGCACAAAAGCGATACAGCGCTGACGTGTGGAGCTAATATCGAAACATCACTGTTACAATTATGGAAAGCATTTTTAAACATTTTATAAGAAATTCAACGGCAGCTCGAGTATTATTCATATGACTGCCTTAACTCGATTAAAATCTTCTATGTGAAGTTCGAGTATCAATCTTAGTCCACCCTTCTCAATCATTGACAAGAATCGAACTTTCTGTTCTCGAGTTTCATTTAATTTGTGATAAGTTAGCTGTTCCCTTGAATAGCAAATTTTTAAGAGATGTAAGTATACTGATCGATATTGTTTTCGAATTTAAGGAATATCTTGTAAATAATAATCTATTATTTTCATTTTAACGTAGCTTAAGTTCTACTTTTTGTAGCTGCGAAGTTATTTGTACAGCCACGCGTTTTAGAAGTTTATGCATCTCGCCTGGCGAAAAGCCGTTATCTGTGAAATGAATTTAAAGGTGTTATTTTTCTGTTAAAAATGTTTATTTTTATAATAATTCTGAATGATCGACCATTCCTTTGCTTTTGAAGACAGTATCATTGTTTTGTCTATCATCCATGCGATTAGTGCCTTGTCTCTCTAGGTGTTTTGTATTAATTTTTATCCGCATCCTCTAAGTTCCGTCTTTGCTTTTCATTTAATGAAGAGGAAAGACTATAGGTAATTTATTTATACTTTTACCATTTGAAAGTGAAGTGACTGACCTTAGCATCATGAACAATGGAACATAATATATTAGATGTTATTTTTGTATATAAGATTTTATAAAGTCAGAACAAATAATTTCTGTATTTTTTAGCCTTTTTCTTACATGATTTGTTTCAATGCTAGCTTTGGCTTAAAACTGTTCTTTGGATGTGCTCCTTTTTTTCTGCTCTCATGAGCTGTTATTCTCAGTCTGTTTCATAATAAGATAGATGGTTGCTGATGAAAAAGCTTTGGTTTTACGATAGATTATTTTAAAAATTGTCCTTTAAGTTTATGGATTTTGAATCAAATTTTGATGTTTATACCATTAAAGGTGTAATTGTTACGCATTTGTTAAGTTTTTTTGTTGTTTCCCAAGTGTAGGTATGACCATTAAGGGTTTGAATTAACACTTTTAATGTTTCCGAAGTCTTAAAAATACATTTACACAAACTTTTGCTCAAAGTTTTGCCACCTTTTTGATAAGCTTGGGGTCCTTGAGTTATTGCGGAAATTAAAGAAGTTCTGTCAAACGAGGAGTCATAAATTGCAGCTAGAACACTCTTCTTCCTATTGACATTAAGAGAGGTAGGGAATGAAATTTCTGAGGCTCCAAAAACCGATTCCAGAAAAAAGTAGGGTTAGGTAGGATAACCTTGCTGCGACCAATCAGGAGTTATCGCTCCAAGAAATTTCTGATATTCCTATTGTACCATGAGCTAACTCTCTTGTTCTAAGATTTATTCCGAGAGAGAACCTGCCATTAATTTCTGGCACTAATGAAAATTCAAAGCTAGCCTCTGGTTTTGACCGTCTTTTACACATGCTACTGGAGCTGCGGAAGGCTCAGCAGCTGGGCCTTAAAATTTAATACATTTCTAATGTTGTTAAAATAAAATAATTATTGCTGAGTTCGGAGTCAGATTTTAGCAGCGTGACAGGCTGTTTTTTTAGGAACTAACGGTGAAGATCTCAATGCAGATGAACTTTTTCGACATAAATGTGTCAGATGAATTGAATGTCTGAATTTTAATAGTAGTTACTGTAGGATCAATTGAAGTACAGAAAACACAGCTTTGAATAAGGATGGTTTTTATTTTTATAACTTAAAAGGAAAAAAAGAAGAAACGAATGCAACATTAAATAATGATAAAAAAACAGATATTGAGTGAGGATAACTAAATACAAAACAAAAAATAATTACAACTGTACAAATAAACGTTAATGACAGCGCAAAAAATGGTCATCAAATAAAAAAGTAAAAGAGAAGAGGTCATTCACCGATGACAAAATTCATATTAATGTTACTTAAATTCGATAGATAATAGGCCTACTAGAATCTAACACAGTACTTTTTACTACTAATTTTTCATTCATATAAATAAGTGTTACAGCACTACGCAATATGTGCCTGAAATAACTTAAAGTAATCATTATAATGATACAATACAGTAATGTCAAAGCTAATGGATATTTCAGAGATTATTGGAGAAACTACAAAATACAGCATGAATGGGAAGAGTTGCTTATGATTACAGACCATGTTATTAACCATAAGAGGTAGTAAAAATTCTTCGCTAGTAGAAAATACCCTCAAAACTATTGTACTGTGAACCAAATACTATCTTTAAACCAATAATATAGTCTTTTCACACAAATTCAGTGCCTTCCAGATTACAATGATTCGATGAAAAGCAGATCAGAGCTATTTGGGGTGAGACATAATAGAAATAATTTTTTTAGTTAAAATTTTCTGGGTACTTAAATGAGGCAGAGCTAGGGCAATTTTAGGATTTATGCCCTTGTCCTAGAATGCGTAACCTGAAAAATGTGATTTAACTCATTAAAAACTTTCCTGAGAGACAACAAGGCCATCAGTTACCTCTTAAGTAATTTTTAGTGGATAATTTCGCGTAGAACAAATTGGAAGCCTTGTTAAGAATTCAACACCCACGAACTTAATTAGGGAAAAAAAATGGATCATAAATGAGATGATTCATCTTAGCATTGAAAGTAACAACTGATAAGAGAAAGAATCTTAAGGGACAGTAAATTCGCTAGATGCCTGGCGATCGCGCTGAGTTTTTAGTTTCAGAGCAGTGTAAGGTTTTTCACATTCAGTAAGTGGCTGTTCATAAAATATGTAACCCCCTAGGGTGGAGGAGTGAGTCACAGCCTGCAATACAGGGGGAGAGGGCATGAAAAATCAACGTCAGGTGACAATTTTTCACCCTAAATTAATCTCAAAATGCTATTGTGAGGGGGGCAAGCACAGCATTGCATAATTTTTTAAGGGGGATGCAGACATGTGTTTTGGGTGCATTACAGAGAGGGAAAGTTAAAAAATCCGATTTTTACCTTCATGTAATTTACGAACGGTCCTTTATCTTAAAAGCTCTGATTTGTTTAGGCACCTCTCTCGCGTTCTAACAGCTGAACTGGAGAAGATAATCTAAATTTTGTAGTCAATAGAATTTTGTAAAAAAAATTTTGTAGCCCACTGCTTCCTCTTCCTCCCATTTGGATATTTTCAGATGTGAGGGCTGTATGATACTGAACAAGTCACAAGCTGTGTTTGAACTAATTGGGAGGCTGAATTTTGTGAGCCAATGTGGCTATAGTTGCCACCTACACCTACATACTGCGCCAATCTGGGTGGTCAGTGATTGAAAAAGGCCTGAAGTTCAAGCAGATTTGAGATAAATCAAATTCATGGTGTTTAAAAACTTCCTAATTCCTTAATTTTTTCTGTTTTCATTTCAGACAAGAAATGAAAAGACTTTCTTAAAAATATCTCTCAGGCATCCTTAACTTAAAATTTTACCCTCATTGTTATAGAGGCTAAAATTCCCTGTATTCAGAAATTTTTTTCAATTTCGAGAATTGTTAGCCATTTTTTTCTGCTAAAAATTAAATTCCATGCGATCTAGAGATTTCCTAGGATCACACACGGTAATGATTTTTCACATGAGAAGTTCACTTGAAAAGCTGAGCACATAGCTTTCGATGTATAGGTTGGATTACCTATCTCAACTTGTTAATCTTCAGGCCCTGAAAATATGACTAACCATTTATCGTACTCATCAGAGCAATGCCACTCAGTCTACAAGCTACTTTTAGGCAGGATTAAATTGGTTCTGCAGAACTAGATGGAGCAGTTATGCTTAATTAGGCACTTGGCCTAGAGTATGTCCGAACGTGTTTGACCGAAGTTTGCCACATGAAATGATAAAATAATAATCCGAGGCTGGACGATCATTAGACAAGGGACCTACGATATTTCTACTTGAGAGGGCAGATATTTTAAAATGTAACCAAGATTCAGTTCCATATCTAGAGGAGAGTCAGGAACCAAAGGTGTTCTTCATTAAAGCAAGCAAACACTTTGGGCAGTCAAAAATAGCTGATGAGATTTTATCTGTTACTATCTATTATCTATATTTTCAATACTCCACATATTTTACGCTCGAAAATAAAAAAGAAGAAATTAGCTCTAGAAAATTTGCTTGCTAACTCCACCGAGGACGAAATTAGTTTCCTTCACAGCAAGGGGTTTTTACAGAAGTGTAAATGCATTTTGCCTCTTCCTGAGAATGTATGGAAGAGACTTCGGATCCTCATTTATCCTTATCAGAAAAAAGGTGAAATTTGATTAAGTTAAAAATACATTCTTATATTTGTAAAATTTTTGATGTGAATTTTCTTAGGGAGAAAGATATTCAGCCCTATTAGAATGTTTATCAATATCTTTTGGCAGTTGGTAATATTCGACTCTCCATCTAAAAGGTTTGATTTGCCAGCATTGCATTGACATCTTGCACTCAATGCTTTCTGCCAAAAATCTATCTAGGTTTGGAAATGGACAGGCGACGAAAATTAAAATTATTCTGACAGTGCATATTGATTCATCAAATCAAAAAGAAAATGAAATCTCAATTAATGGAGTATTTTTATGCAACGGACTATAGGACTTCTCTAGAGATAAGGTTACGTACTTCACTTCGACTTTCATCTTTGAAACTACTAAAGAGGATGAAACCTCAATATAATACTTTCTGAAAATGTAATAGAGCAGAAAAGAATTTGAAACATTAAGGTTTAAAAAATTAGATCCTCTAAACTTAACGAGAGTAAAATAAAACCGTTAGGTTTACTTAATTTTGAAAAGTCAAAGACAAGTTTCGGAAATGGATGATTAAACATACAGATTCTATTTAAAAAATTGATGGCAAGGCAGTGAGTAACTGTGCTGATTTTAAAATCTCCTTTATTTCTGTGCTTTCTGCTGAGTTAAAAAAACGGATTCGAACTTCGTTAAAAATAATTGAAAAAAGAATGCAATGTCTTGGTGTGAACAACGTAGGAAGCAGGAGTGGAGAAGCACAGAAAAAGATACAAATGTATCAATTGTTGAAGGGTGAAAAACTTTTCATACACAGGAAGACACGAATAATGAGAGTGAGGGAAACAGATAGATCAGCAAATTATGAATATTTACAGGTTATAATTTATTGTTTTTTTCCTTTTTTTCAATTTATACAAATGTTCAGTCTTAAAAACTTCCAGATGCATTTAAATATAGCATTTTACAGGCTAAACATCTTTTCCATGAGTCAGTCTTGGCATAGAAAATATACCTCAAACAGTCGGAACAAAAATAAAAAAATAAATACGATAAATGAATAAAAAAATACATGGACTTATTACTCAGGCAAATGAAAAGGCGAAGGGGATAAAAAAATAAGGAGGGACTTTCAAAAAGGCTCCTACCTAACTCATTCAAAATTTCGACCACACTTTCTCCGTTTCACAAGTAACAACACACGCTCACTTAAAATTTCATCATTCGCCATAAAAATAAATAGGATTTCATTTCTTTTTTATACTTGCAAGCCAAGGTTACCAATTTGCAACAGTAAAAATTATTTTGTCAGTTACCGTAGCTCCGATAATAAAGGGAAATACACTGACTTCAAGATAGAGCGTGACTTCAGATGTGTTAGATGGACATCTGAGAACTGATCATCAAAGAACTACGATACAGCTGAAGAGCCAAACAGGTGAAGGAATAAATTGACATCAGAATACAATTTAAAAAAATCGATGCCAGTTTTAGCAAAAAAATAATTTGAAGTTATAACCCATTTCTTCTGCCCTTAGCAAACATAGACATTACAAGACAGTTGTTCTGCAAAAATGATAAAATTTCAATATAAATTTTGAGATATCACTATTTAACAACACAATAAATGACAATGCAAAACAATGCCTTTACAATTGCAAAAATGAGGGATGAAACACGGACCCTGCATTCTAAAATTAAGAGGCTGAAGAAAATTTTAAATTCAGAAAGTTAGGAGTACGTAAATAAAGATGCGAGCATAAAAACATCTTCCCGAGAATAAAAACTTCAGGGTTGCCACATCTGAGAAATAAAATTCTCAGTCATTTTCGGTCAACTTAAAGAAAATTCCTACAATTATCGCGGAATTTAAAGGACGAGTATTTAATCAAGAGTTTTGATAGGGTAGTAAATTTTCCTGAAGATTTTCTTTGTTGATACATGCTCCAATAATTAAATTTTCCAAGTATCGCGTATGTTCCAAAAGATTCTTGGCCTTCACAAGAGTTCCTTAAACAAATTAGAATTTCCTGACTTAGCCCTAACTATAGCAGCCCTGCAGTTTTTCTCTCCCATCATTCAAAAATAGGTAAAGACCGATGAAAAAAATCTTCCAGATCATTCAGGGTTCGGCAAGCAAACGAAGCTAAAAACTCTAGATCATTCATGTTTTGAGGTACAAATAAATGTTATTTTTTTCCTTGCAAACAACCAGTTCAAAAATGATGTGAGCACTCCAATAATGGCAGTGAATAGTAATGTGAACACACCATACATTGAATATATAAGATACTGCGACAACTAGTGCCTTCAAATGTATCAATTCACAGCGTTGCTCCTGGGAGTCCAATGCAAAATTTTCTTCCGGCATAAAGGGATGAAAATTTTATGAAAAATTGGAATTTGAAATTTCATGTTGCTATACATCATAAACTTTTTGTGCCACTTTAATAGATGTTAACAGAGATTGAGTCAAACTTTGAATATCGAGAAATTTTGTAAACAAATTAGATTAAGATTTAAAAATTTAATATAGCGATGGAGTAATGAAACATGAAACTTAAAATGCCATCACAAGTCAGCATTGTGCTTTTTATTACTATTCACTGCCACAGTGCTTATTATACTGCTTACGCATCGTTATTTACAACTTAATAATCTCGATTTGAAACCTCCTAATTTTTCCTAAAATTTTTGCTAGCCAATAATTCAAATGTCCAATTTTGTTTTTAAAAAAAAACTGGACCACGTTACTTTCAAATTTCACTTCATGACTTCACTTGATCAGCTTTTGAATTTGAGAAACATGTCTCCGGATGAGTATTTATAATAACTGAAGTATGGCCTTTACAAGGGAAAGAATATTTATGAGTACATTTGTTAATCAATTTTGGGAGGGTAAATTCAGAGAAATTTAATGATGATCAACCATGGATTAAAATAGCAAGAGGTCACGCAAGTTATTTCAAATCTCCTCCAAAATATTTAAAGAGAACTTAAAAATTTAATTACCTCAACGGACAAGGAAGAAGATAAAACTCAACAGGGGAACAACATCGTATTCTGTAAAAATGACGTCTTAACTTTTCAATCTTCTAATGATTAAGAACTTACATCAGAAAAGTTTCGACTTTAAGACTGTCAAATTAATACTGGCCTCTTGAAAAACCAATTTAGTATATATTTAAAGTACATTTTCTGCCAAGCATTGATTGGTGCCGAAAGAGAATGTTTTTGTCACTTTCAAAATAAACGGTAAATGGTACACAGGAGAAATTATGAGCAATTAAATTGACAAAATCACTGCCACTATGATCACATTTTCACAGGGAATTAAATTCAACTTTGGAAAAACAGAGGTAAGGGTCTTAGAAAAAAGAAAAAAAAACTTAAAGAACTAAACGAAAAGGGGAAACTTCTTCCATTTCAAAATCAATTAAAAGAAAAGTTCTGAATTAGAATGGAAATGAGTGAGAGAAAAAAAAAGAAATCAGCTATCTGACTTTACCTATACACAGAGAGATACGAAAAATCTATATTGAGCACATTAAAATATTAAATAAAAATAGAGAGCAGATAGTGAATGAGGAAAATAGCGATATATGATGATCCTTTTTGTTAAGCTAAGAGATTGATTTCAGAAGGAAATAAGGTATTCTTGACTTGACCCTGAACATTCAAATGATAAGATGATTCAAGACGAGCAACTAAATTTTGAGGTCTAAAAGCGCTATATATTAACGATAATTTTTACTCATTTCCACAGTATATTAAAACCCTTGCCCCTAACTTGGTAATGGAAAAAAAGCACAATTCAAACTTATAAATGCTTCGATGAGAGATGGGAGCGGAGACGCTCCGAATAAAAAAAATGAAACTGTTACTTAGTAAAATATTAGTGAAGTTTTCTTCAAAAAACTAAAAACAACACAACTGACCAGCCTGCGATACGTTCATGCCTTAATATAATTATTTTCCGTCAATATCTAGTTACGACACAGTTTAAATTTATCTCCGTAACAAACGTTTCTTGCTTTAAAAAAGTCAAAATGTGTAAGAGAAAAAAATTAAAGTACAATAAAGTCAAATGGGGAAATTTTTACAGGGGAAGCCTGACAGTAGATAGACATAGTAAGAAGATGATCTCCTTGATACTTCTAGAAAATATTCAACTTAATCCTTAACTTTTACAACGACGAAGTATTAACTATAAACAAATAAACGCAAATGCGTCAGTACGATTCTACGTACGCAAGTATTTTACACAAATTCAGATATCAAAATAAAACATCTAAGGATAATATCAGATAAAAATAGTGGAGTTACTCTTCCTTCACGGTTTCCTCTTCTGTACTACTTGTTTCGTCTGCTTTCAATGTTGTTTGCGTTTCATCACAGGTGATATCATCAGTTTTTAGCGATTCAGTTTCTGGTACTGAGTCCTCTTCAGGCTGAGCGACTTCACCTGACTCATTTGCGATTCCAGAATCAGCTTTTTCAGCGTCTTCATTCTCGACTGATTCCTCAAGCTGGATTTCACCGTCAGTTTCAGGGACGATTTCGTTCACAACTTCAAGGCATTCCTGGGGTACGATAGCTGGAGGTAATTCAGCAAACCCTCGTTTTACGAGTTCTTCATTGATGAGAATGACCTAAAGAAAAGGATTAATTTTGTAAGAACACAACTCACATTTAGAGTTAGACTTTAAAACTACATCAAAAAGTCTGAAATATCTTTGTTCCCTTACAGAAAATGAAGATTCAAAGTAAGAATATTTGAGGTTAGGCACTCCAGCGCAAGGAGACAGCCAATTTTACATGTCCTACCAAGAACAGTGTAATTGCGAAGGAAGACGTTACCAGATTAGTTCAGCAATGAACCTACATACTTTAATTCTCGACTACCACAGAAATTATTTATCAAGGTTTCCATAATTGCTTCGTTTTTCATATCCTTAACTATTTTTGCTTTTCCCAGACTCAAAAATTCCCTGCCTTTACTGATGAATTCCCGAAACTTCCTTCACTTTTCTAGGTTGTCATAAATTCTTCAACTTGCTAAGTTGCAATAAACTATGTTAATATATCTGAATACTGTGCTGTCCTAACATTTGTTGTTCACTAGAACTTCGAAGGAATGAAACTAGATTTTTGGAAAAATAATCATGAGGCATTACAATTTTCTAGGATCGTGAAACTTTCTTTCATCCTGCAAAAAAAAATAGAGCCTCAAACAAAGGACCCAGCACATTTCTTATGGGATTGTGCACCACAATCGTTTTCTTATTTTTTTATTGCATTAAATTTGTTTTTAGATGCTGATCGAAAGTCATCGTTGCGCCAACTTTCTACGAGGCACCGTTTTAGTAGTACTTTGCATAGTCCCTGCTGGACAATTGCATGAATGAGTGAGACCAGCGCATTTTAACAAGAAAAACCCAAGCCGGTGATATAAGGAAAAGAGTGGGAGAGAGAAAGAATCTGATTTGGACAGTGAAACAAAAAGGAAATCACGGAATCCGAGATAAGACTGCCGGGTTCTCCTCGTTTTCAGCAAGTGCTAAAAGATAGATATCAGCTCACTGGCCTCACTTATACAAGTAATAAAAATCAGAACTTCCACCATGGATGGTGCGAAAACGGTGCTTAGTGACACGCAATGATGACTTTGGATCAGCATCCAAAAACGAATTTAATGAAATAAAAAAGTCGGAAATCGATTGTAGTGCACAATCCCATGAGGAGTGTAAGGGGTCCTTTGCCGTAAATCCACCTAATTTTTGCACCCTGCTAATTTCATTTTTTTCGTTGAATTGCAGTTGTTTGCCCCCTTTGCAAAGATAGACCTTGCATAATCATAGTAATAGTGAAAAGCTTGTGGTAGTTATGAGCATCATCGATCTACAAGGTGAACCTTTTCGAAAACTAATAAACAATTGTGTATTTTCTTCGGCAAATACACTAGAAATGCAGTAAAAATTCAGCCACACAAATCTCTAAAGCCTGGTAAAAAACGAGCTCAATTGAAAATTCAAGACATCCAATGTAACGCAAAATTTGCTGATTAACTCTCCAGAGTTGTTTAATTTTTTGATTCGACAGAATACGCCAAAAATTTGCGATGAGACGCATAACTGCAATGACACTAAAACTAGTAGCAGTGCTGTGACACAAGTGAAAAGGTGTAGAAACTTCAGACAAGAAAAATAACAAGACAGATACTGAATTAGTCCTTCGGTAAACTCCATCTTCCAACTCTTCCAACTTCCATCTCTTCCGAATCAAAATTAAGTCGAGATACTTCTATTCTGTAGAAAGATACTTCAAGAACTTAAAAATTACATTATGCAGAAAATATTAAAATTTTAACGTTCTTTATTCAAGTAGGAAGGTTCCTTATCAAACCCGCCGATATAAATAATTTTGAGAGATCAACCGAGTTGCCGTAAATCTATGGGAGAGAAAGAAAACATACCTGATCGTCAAAAGTCGAGTAAAGGTAAACGAGGGGGATTCCTGTTTCCACAGCATAGTCATAGATTTGAGCTTGCAGCACTCGTCCTACAGTCATTTCGTAGACGAACAGACGAGCTTCCTCACTCCAAATTTCACTGCCTCCTAAAGGACAATGAACAACTTTAAAAATCAAGCTGTCACATGAGGCTACAGGCAGAAACACTTTCACTAATACCTGAGAGCTAGTCTTCAAAGACCGAAAGATATTTGATAAAATTATTTTAATGACTATTTAGCCTGACATTGCTTTGTTCGATGGCTTGTCCTACTAATTCTTCATAGTTATCCTTCTTTGCAAGGTTAATTGGACCGCGTTAAAAAGAAAGGAACCAAGCCACATCAGCTATTGCCAAAACGAATTAATTTTTTGCATGAAAACGGTTGAGCGGATTTTCGTGCAAATTTTGGTGAATTTTCTTCATAGTGCGACGCAAATTTCTTAAAATTTTCAAAAGGAATCCGCACAAACGTTCTCTCGTAAAAAATTGACTTGCCCAGTTAATTTTGGCAACAGCTGATGTGGCTTGGTTCCTTTCTGTTCAACGCGATCCAATTTGGAATATTCCTGACGGAAAATTACCAAACAGTATTGAGGTGCTAATTAAATTGATGCTTTGCATTAGGGCACAAATTACTCACAACATTTTGAAATTACCAATGATGGTTTACTTTAGTATGAAAGACTTTTTGCAAATTTCCTGAGGTAGATTGGAAAATTATCTTCCCCGGACCCATTAAAATTACAAAAAAATGTTCAGGAGGATTTTCTTGATACCTTACTTCTACAAAGATGAACTATTCATGCTGTTTTTGTGACATTCCAACAGGCTTACACGCCCAAGCAACGAATGCATTCAACAGGAATCGAACAAAGTTTGGTCTCATCTTGATGGAAAAAGTATAGAGCGACATACATCGATTGGTATCATTGTAGATTTCCCATGACCTGTCTACATCCATGGTTGTTGCAAAAATGTTTAAGTAAAAGTCTTGTGCCCCCTCAAAAACTAAAAAAATTTTAAGCAAAAATATCCAGAAATGTTTTCTTGCCTGGCTAAAGAAGGAATTGAGACTTTTACACACCTTGAGGGAGATACGTGTTTTCGTGGTTTCACCATTGTTGGTTTGATTTACTATTTTGGGGTTGGAGAAAACCTCATAACCTAGGATAAGAACTAGAATTGGAAAATCATCTAAGTATGAATCCTCAGTATTTAAATTTTGGGAGCAATTTAAATGGACAAATTCTGAATCTATATGAATGTCCTCATTCCTTGAAACACATTCTCTTCTTCTAAATTCTTTAGTACTCAATACATTTAGTGATCACTGATAACTTGAAACTTCAGACTTTAGGAGTGGTTGCACGTACCTGCAGGCACTACGTTCGCAAGTGCACACTCGATGGCCTGGAATGGTAAACATAAGAAATCAGCACGGATCTTCCTCAGCATAGAACAGTCCAGTGTTGAGTAACCTCCGTAGTCTAAGAATCTAACTTGACACTGATTATTTTCGATGATTTCCACTATCTGAGCTCTGTACCATCCGCCCATTGCTGGAGCTGCTACAACTGCATCTGAAAGAAAAATAAAAACGACGGATAACGAGACTTCCATAGTTTCTTCATGATACAGACCATTAAATTTCTACGTACTTTGTGAGGGATAAAACAAAATTTACCTAACTCAACTAATCAACGAATATTGAGGGGCATATTGGGGGGTTTGATTTGGAAAATGATTTTCACTTTTTGCCAATTTATGGATGTATTTGTTTACTTATTTTTTCCGGATGGGTGGCTTTCAGGCAAAAAATCAGGAGTGAAGTACGCACAAATTAAGTATAGAAAAACGTGGGGAGCACAATTGGAAAAATCAATATAAAAGTTTGACCAGAATAAGCCTATTTTCGTTTCATGTTGCATAATTCCTTCTCGTGTAGAGGAAATTACAGTGATTATTTAATCTTCATAAAAGGAGACTTACACTTCAGCGACTGGCTTCCCATAAGATTAACACATTCACTGCCAACGTGTTTTTGCATTATTTTTCCTGTTCGGCCAGAAAAACACGCAAAATATGGCAAAATGCAAACGCTATGTACCAAAGCTACTGCCAAATGTTGCAGCAGTGAACTGCACACACAACTTATACTTCAGAGTAGTTTTGTGGAGGACCCGCAGACATCGCCTTTCCCTTCATGGCAGCATGATGAAGGTGCACAGCGCAAAACACGCATCATCATGATTATTTTGGCTTGGTGCAACCAACAAAAACCTGGTTGTGCCAGCCGGCACAACCAGGGCAGTCATAGTGATCAATAGCCACTATGACCGACCTGGCAGTGAATGTGTTAGTGAGCAGAGCAAGTGAACTTACTTAGCTGAGGCTCTGTCATGACAGGCGCATCTGGTGAGCAGTAGTTGGCGTTCATTGTGAAGTTCAGTCGACTTAACTGTTGATATGTTGGATGGGTTGGTTGTTGCAGAAACATGTAACCGGCAGAAATCAAACTACTCACTACGACATCATTATTCATGTTTTCAACTAAATGTAACTGGAAAAAAAAACAAGAAAATTACATTACGCGGTTTCATTGCACTTGATTTTACAGTATTAGAAGAAAACACAAAAGCATTTTATTACGACAAACAGTCCGGGCAAAAGTGAAAATTAATCAGACCGTTCAAGACAATGGATGAAAATTGAATATGCTTATTATTATCATAGCAACTAGAATGAATCCCTATAAGAAATTTTCTAAGATTATGAAGCACTGAGCTCATAGCAAAGATTCAATAACTGCAAAAATAGACTACAATAAGGCTTGGAGTATTTTGCAAATTCTCAACTTACGGTGGGTAAAAAGTGAAACGTAATTACTTAAGGAGAAAATACATACCTGAAAATAGTCTGGTTTGATTTGTAAATTAAAATCATTGGGAGATATCCTTTCTAACGTTAAACCTGGATTTTGGGATAGAGGGAACTTTTTACGAATTAGAGCTAAAGCACAGTCAACATCACTTGGTACTCCTGAAACAAAGAAAAAAAATAACAATTTGAATTAGGATGAATGCAATTTACTATCAACAAGAAGAGGGGAGAGAAGACAAGGAAAACAAAACAAGAAAAATACCTGCCATGGATAAACTGTTGAGGCTGGTTCTCAGATTTCAATTTAAACGGTTCTTCTGCCATTCAACACACAAAAATGACATGCAGAGTACTGAACTCAGGATTCCATACAAGTGCTCCACGAAATCGTAATCGATTGATTACGAGGCTTGATTACATGGGAGGAAGGGAAATTAGCTGCTGTTCGGAGGGTGGGGTTCTATAATCCCTTGTTGATAGTATTAGTAAGGAGGGGATCACTACGCTAATTTAGAGGAACTCTGAGCTTTCAAGGCTTTTCTAGAAAATTGCCTGGCTAGTGCAAAATCTATGCCTCCGATTAAACACTTTCATCTTTGAGATTAAAAATTATTATTATTCGAGATTCTAGTCAAGGCAGAGAGGAAACTTTCTTGAGTTCTTTCAATGACTAACTTAATGAATGAAAATACACACTGAAAAAAATTATTCTTGAGATATTTTTTTCACTTAAAGCGTCGTTTTGTATCAACAAAATTTGGTTATTTAAGTTAAATCCGTATGGATTAAACTCAGTATCACTTTTTTTAGTTTGAAGGGTTGTTTTGTAATCTCTAGGTTTAAGTTCGATAGCAAAACAACGCTTCTTTAACTAAAAAAAAAAAAAAAAAGCTTCAGGTTAAATGCGCACAAAATGACTAAAATAGACCAGAATTTGTCGACAAGAAACGACGCGTTAAAAAACAAAAATAATACCTAAAAAAAAAAAAAATGTTTTTCAGAGCACTAAGACAATGCGAGTAAACTCGAGGGAAAAAAGTTCTTAGGATACTCATTATTTACCTTCAATGGCACATATTCTTAGATCCATTGATTCAGGATGCATTCTGACGTAAATGTTTGTATTTGATTTAGCTTTAAGTTCATGTAAATTGTGTCCTTTGAGGCCGATAAGGCGGCCGGTGATAACTTGTGGTACAATAAATTCATATACTATGGGCTGGTGATCTCCTGCTAGGGAGCTGCCACCAGCAGGCGTAGCCGTTTCACTGCAACCTTTACCACTGTCACTAGATCCTCCCTGAAAAGAATAGAAACAACATCAAAAATTAGATCTCAATCAATGATCAACACAATTGGACGAACCATTAATGCTGCAAATCAAAAAACTACTTCAATTACAAGCGACTGAAAGAGGAAGAAATAAAATCTACCTTAAAGAGTTAGGGTCAAATTTGAAACTTGTCTGCATATCACTTCTTTCAGGAGGAGCGGGCATGGTCACCAATCTTAATTGACAACATCTCACTCCTTTTATTCCGACAACTTCGTCTTTTTTTCTTTTTCTTTTTTTAAAATGAAAAGAACATTTTTATAAAAGCAGCTTTGTGCAACATACATTTTATGTGTTTGATTCAAGCACAATAAAATATTCGGATGCATCTCTTACATTTTCAACTGTGCAGGACTAGTAGATTTCCATTTTTCTGGATGAAACTCCTCAACATTCCTAGAAGGAGAGAAGCTCGGAAATATTTCTTGAATGTAAGTTAGGATAGTATGATAGTATTGATAATACTAAACAAACATGGTACAAAAAAATAATTACCTCGCTATGATTATCTGAGCAATGGCTAAGGGTGGGACTTGCTAGCATCATAGCTTCTGCAGGACTGTGATTTGCGGAGTCTCTCAAGGAGGTTTGATTGAATTTGGAAGGAGTCCTTTCATCCATCGTGAGCTTCTCCAACTTTCGATGTAGCAGCTTTTCTTGTGTATCACATTCATAATCATTCTTTCCTCTATAGTTATTCCTCCTAGGTTCCCGACTATCCCTCTTTCGCCAATTCATGCTGTCCGATCTGTACCTATGTCTCCTTTCGTTGTCACTGAAAAACATACTGATATCCACCACTTGATTCTTCTTCTTCTTCTTCTTTTTACCGCTCTTGCCCGATGTGTCCCCTAGCTTAACGTAGTCGGAATCGTCTTTGCACTTTTTACAAGAATTCGATGTGATTAATTCACCATTGTTTTTAGTCGTTGAATCAGGGATGATTTCATCATCCGATGCACCCCATTCACCGTTGAAGGGAGTCTTATTTAGGGACTGATCACAGAGTTTGCTATCAGATGAGTTTTTCAATTTAGAACTACTGTTTTTACAAGAGATAACCTGACTGGAGTTGTCACTGGAACTAACTTCACACTGGGCTTCTTCTTCGAGTTCGATATTTGACGTGTCAGTTATTTGAAGGACTTCTTCGACAATTTCTTCAATGGGGGAGTTTTCAGGGATGGGAGCGATAGTCTCTAGGTCACGGATCACTTTCTGTATTACAGCTTTTACGTCTTCTGCTTCTTTCAAGGGACTTATGACAGAGCTATCGAAGCTATCGTTGTGAATACTGGATTCGAGAGTTTCTTTAAGCGATGTGGAGTCAACTAAACACTCGTTATCAGCATTAGCCTGGCTGGAAGCTATAGATTTTCCACCAGTGTCAGAACTTAAAAAAGCTTTTTTTCTCTTGTAGTATAGATAACTGAAGAGAACGACTGCAGTAGGAAAGCTCCACATCAACAATTGTCTTGATTGGACAGGTGCCATTCTTTTTGGGATCCGTTTTGTACAATTTCAATCTGAAACAGACAAAAATACCAACAAATGAGTATAACACAAGCTTTGGGATTCGTAGTAAAGTCAACATTGGCAAGACCAAGTTCAGGATAAACAATAGGCGATACTTCTTGTACGCTGCCGCATTCCATAAAAGCATAAAGTATGATATTAATGAAGAAGAAGACGACCAAGTTTTGTTTATCCGTAGTCATTAAGCGCAGGTGGTTAAAGAGCCATTTTTCTCCGGAACAGGGAGAGATTCTGGGTGGATTTTGAAAAATAGAATATCTTTCAGTAAAATTCCGAGCAGATTCAATTAAAAAATTTCAGAACAGATAAATAATGTAAGTTATATGAGTTCACAATTTTCGTCGCGTCTTTTTTCGATAGCAGTATTATTTTTGTGGTTACTTCAGATTTCCTATCTTTAAAAATTTCCTCACTCCGCAAGAGGGTAACAAATACTCTTAGACCCAAAAAAATGTGAAAAATCATTGCACTACACTGGTTTCCTTTTTTGAAATGTTTGGACAAAAAAGGGATCTTCTTTACGAAATTTCCCCCCGCCCCTTCCTAGTCGGTGCTTGTGCGTTTAAGTATTTTCAGCACCCCCAATTTCATTGGGAGGCTTCTTTGTCACCTATTCCTTTGTATTTTTCTTCCTTTTTTCTAAAATAAGGAGAGAGAGACACGGGAAATTCATATTCATTTCTCATATTCCCTATCAGGCAACCGCCACTGTCCCCCCCCCCCCTTCCCNTTTCCGTAGATTGATTACGAAGATTACAGATACAGCCCGCGACCTGATGGCTTCGATAGACTTTCAGATTTTGGAAACTTTGAAGTATCCAGTTTTCCTCACCGAGATCGGCAACGATTTTCGGAACCGTGGAAAGTTCGCGACGGCACAATTTACTGTCAAAACAGGCGCTTGAACCAACCGACATTTGATACGAAAAATTTCACAGGCTCAAGGAAATTTGGGGGCACCGCACTTGCGTGACACACACACGTAAAAAAACACGGAAAAGGGTGAATTTAACACGGAAAAGCGTGAAAAAACACCGCGACGCCCGCTACAACGACGACGAAAGCAGCGCACGTGGCAGAAAATCGAGGGAAACGACGAGAGGAATGGTCCGATGGAGAAAAAAAGCCGACTCAAGGAGATACTCTTACAAAGTAGCGTGTCGAGGACAAGATAAAAAAAATTTCGCCGCGATAACGAAACTCGGATCAAGAATGAAGAGGGGCGGCGGATCCGGCCAATGGCGGTTCGTGATCCTCGGCTCACATAGCGCGAAAACGTAAACACGGGCCAATGCGAGTGGCCGCGGCATGTGAGCCGTGAATTTGTGCGCAGAAAACGGACGCACAACTCAATTTTGATGATTCGACGGGAGCAAAGTTTGCTCAATGGTGAGAATTTGAACGGACGCGGGGTTGCAGATTGGGCCCGATTTTAAAATTTACTCGCGTTTGTCTTGTTTTCCTTCGCTTTACCGAAACAATTTTGGACGTTATGAGAAAAAATTAATTCCCTCTAAAAAGTAGGAGGGACGAAAAATAATTACCGAATGCACGTGCGAATTTTGACTTTCCACTGAAATCCCTGAATGAAATCCTTGATAGAATGTACCAAAATTCCTTACTTGAAAAAAAAAAAAAAAAAAAAAAAAAACTTTAAACTTGACAATTCTAAAAAAGTAAATAAAAAACTCAGGACCACAAACGTGTAAATATTCCATAAATTTCTCCCAAAAAACCTCTGCCAACGTTAGAAAAAAGTACCCTCATAATTTCCCCAGCTCACTTCGTGCCGGAAATTGTGACTTCATTTGTCGGAATTTTGTAACTTTCCTTCCACATTTCAAAAAATGTAGACGATAAAAAATAACACTGACGAATATGATAAAAAATTATGATTTTACAATTCTCGCTAATTCACACGAACTTTCTTTTTTTTTAAATTTCTCCGACTTTCCCGGATTTTCCTCCACCCTAATAGTCCTTGCACCCCTGATATGCACTATATGAATCAACGCCGTAGTTGCTCACGTAAAACTCGGCTATTTTCCATACTGTCAGCTGTCTGATATGATGGCAGGCGAAACAGACAAATTTTCCAGAAAAACGGCAGCGCTGATAGGCGCGCGACAGTCGTGCCGTGTCGCAAGCGGAAGAGGGGAGAGACAGAGAACCATCATCGTGGATCCGGAAAAGCGGGTAGAGGGATTTTCTGATCCCACGACGAGACCCGAGGAGCGATGCGCCTCAGAATCGGACACGCGAAAAGGCTGGCGTTGGCGAGAAATTTGACCCGCATCGATAACCCTCCAGCGTCGCGACGTAGGTAAACGCTCGCTCCGAACCTCAACAGTCAGTACTTACGTCGAAGCGAAATTTTTTGTAATGAAATACGGGTCGAAATTCGTAGTTTCCCGGACAAAAGAGCCTACACCGTTCCTTGGTTGCAAATTTGACTCGAAAATGTTTAAAAATTTATGAAAAAGACGTCATGTAAGGGAGCAATGTGGGGTGGATTTCTAGGTTGCGAAATTGACCCGACAAGTTTTTGAAAATTTAAGAAAAAGACACTATATTGTCACCTTCCCGCCAACGATCACAAGCGCCATGCGACATTTCAAAATTTTCGCCGCCACTTTATTTTTTTACAGAGAAATTGTTGGTTGGACCTACTTGAAAATTTCACTGAATTTTATTGGCAGCACGCAGAAAATTCAGTGAAACTTTCGGAGAGCTTCGTCGAACAATTTTTCGGTGAAAAAATAAAATGGCGGTGGAAATTTTAAAACGTCGCATGGCAGTTGTGATACTTTGGCCGGGAGGTGACGATAAAGGGGGTACGTGGGCGAGGAAGCTGGAATCTACTTCTGGGGCTGACATTTTTAGCCGGCCGGCACAGCGCGCTCAACATAATTCGCGAGGTGACAAAATGTCCAGATTCCCGAGTGGACCTCTCGACGAAATCACTGTCTATTGCTATAGTGATTTCCCGGGCTCGATCAAAACAAAACGGAGATGATCGAGGTTAAGTGATTCATCCATTCGACTTTTCAATGTTTCAAATTATTCACAGTACACGGCGGAAATAATTTCGACTCAACATTCACGGCTATCCGTCGATGAAATCCTTACGCAATTATTCCTTTATCTCAAAATTCACAAGGTAAATACTTTTGATCTCGCTTTTATCTAGATTCGAATTCGTTTTGAGTGTGGTTCGAGGTTAAGTTCCCCGCGACCAATACGGACATGCTATGCGCCGCGTCTCGAAAATTAAGTCGCATGCGTATCATTAACAATAGGCATCTTGACGATGAAAGTAAAAAATACAAAATAAATAAAAAGAAATAGAACGCGAGTCTTAATCTGCGACGTTGCAGATTTCCTAATATGTTTAATATTTTGAAAAAGACGAGCTAATAGTTACTATTTCGTGGAATTTATGCAGATTTTCCTTCATTCTGTTGATTCATTTGACTTTTTACTTGAACGACTACAGTTCAGAGGAAACCAAGATCCACGACACGGACGCACGAAAGAGACAAAGAAAAATAAAAAAAAAACCTAGCGACTATACCAGGCTACCAGGCTCGAAATAGGTACCTCTTCTCTTTCGATGGAATTCCTAAAGTCGTTGGCGGCTATCTTAAATTGTCGCGAATCTATTTAGATCGCTGTAAATATTCATGGTGGTGAGTGAGCTTCGAATCGTAGATCACACATGCAGAACACAAAAAAAATCCGGAAATTTAAAAACCGAGCGATGAAATGTCAACCAGTCCCAATTCGCTGTGTGTTACTTATGCTACTCGATGAATTTGGTGAAACGAATTCAGTACGTCACGTGCCACTCGCTTTTTCCCCCTAGTATTTCTTTTCCGCTTTTTCGAATGATCGTATCACAAACACATGGGCAGAGGATGTGATAAATTCAATTAACGTAGAAAAATAAGGTATGAAAGCGTGCGTTCCGTCTATTTCATCAATTTCAACGCGAGATGTAAAATTGATAAGTAAGATACCGTTCTAAGTAGATAGTGGCTCATAAATGTTCGAAAATCCCACTCATGGAAAAAAAAAAATCGAGACTTTTTTTGCTCATTGAGCGTGAATTTTATGACTTCGCACCTAAAGTGTGTCTGACAAAATTCGGCTACCGACTTCGCTTGTTTCCAGCGTAAACGATAGGGAAAGACTGATTTCCCGGAGAAAGTTAAGGATTAATTACTCATTTTTATATCACAATATTAGGTCGTCGAGACATGACAAGAAAAACTTACGACACGTACGTATCTAAGAAGCTTAGCACACTGACAGTACTAGATACGAGGTAAGATTCGTTGACAACACAAGACGCAAGCCCTGTAGATAACTATTCCTGCGCAGCGGATATTTTCTGGCCTACCTCGAGAAATGAAGGCGAAAATTTGTTAAGCGTCAACTGCGTATCGACTTTGCTTCCTCAGACTCATCAGTCAGAAAACGCCACTTAACACTCATCGAGTTGTTCGGCAAATAGATTTTGGCTTTGAGATGGATGGGCCGTTCGAATTTGAGGCCATGTTGAACGTCAGCGTTTCGATCCGGAGATTTAAAAAAGTTTCATAACGCGAATCGTTCTCACCGGGAACGAGAAATCATCATGTACCGCGTAATGCTGAAGTTCAGACCTTGTCTAATGGCCTACGAGAGTGCTTTCTAACGAAAACACGTATCTCCTACACAAAGCCAATATGTAAATGTGTAGTTACGTCCTGGTTCCAGTAACTCCATGTAGACGGATTGCGTTTTACCATTGACATTCAATTCCGTTCAAAAAGCTCTCGCGCCATTAGGACTCACGCTATTTTTCAGATTTTAAAATCTCGCTTCACGGAACTGGGTCGGTGTTAATCGGGTTCTTTCCGTAGAATCCGACCCATTTTGTCACTTGACTGACAGAAGGGCATAACTGTATTAAAAATTGAGCCTGGAGAGCCTTTGAGTTACATGGACTACTGAGTTCATCGCAAATTGAAGTTACGTCTTTTTGTCAGGCGGGGGACACTTCGTGCTTAAAAAAAAAAATCCGAATCCAAGGTCCCGGATGTTCTTGTGATCCGTAAAGGCGCGTGGCTTTCAGTTTCACGCGATTTTAATTGCATGCGATCAAGGAGAATACCTTCGACCTGCAGACATTTTTTTCTGAAAGGAAGGAAAAAATTGCCGAGTCCTAGCTGAACCCAATCTAGAAATCACTGAAAAAAAAGAAAAAAAATTCCTGATATGTTATTTTGACTTGGACGTCGTTTCTTGTCGAAACAATTTGGTTTCTTGGGTTAGAAAAGCGTCATTTTGCTATTAAGTTAAATACACGATAACAAAACCACGCTTCTTCAACTCAAAACAACTGACACAAAGTTACATCCGCACTGATTTAACTCAAAAAACCAAATTTTGCCGACAAGAAACGACGCTTTAAGTCAAAATAATAACTCGCGAGATTTGTTTTTGTGTGTGTGTGCAAATCACAGTGATCCAAGTAAGTAGTAAGGTAAAAATGTTGGGTTCAGTTGGAACTTAGCATGCGATTTCAATGCTTCAATTTATTCTTCAACACCCCCCCCCCTCCTCTTTCTCTCGTCCGATATAAGCCTGACACACTTTGTACTTTTCGGGAACGAGACGAGTCGTTATTTCATGGCACTAACGCGACTTACGACTCCCTGCGCCGAAAAATAGGGCCATAAAATCCGAGTCGGGAAAACGAGCGTAATTTCTCATACTGGCGCACAATAGTGCGAGTCATCGCGAGAGGTTGGAAACCAATTTTTTTTGTTTACTAAACATTTGATAAACATTTAAATGTTGATATTTATTTCGTTACAATTGAGTTTCAAGGGGTGGTTTTTGAAATTTTGCGAGAAAGCCAACGGAACCACGGTTGATCCCTTGCGTTGCGTACGGACGGAGATGGAAGCTCTCGAAGTTTCGGGATCAAGTCTGATCTCACCGACTGATTCCACTGTGCGAAGGGGAGCGAGATGAGCCCGAATTCCGACGACTAACGAACGAGCACTTAATAATTGTCCTAGAAGATTAAAAATGGGATTGAGGTGTGCGTCTCTCAGCCCACCGATTTGGGGAGCGTATTTGTGTGATGTAACGCGGTGCTCAAGTCCCACGCTATGTAAATAGCAATATGCGGAGAAAAAAACTAATTTTTTGAGGAGTTTTTCGTCCAAGAGGAGCGACGAACAAAAATTGTGGGATGATAACGGTCGAATTCCGTTCATTTGCCACTCGATAGAAAATAATTAAGAACTGCAGCGATAGTAAAAACAGGAAGACCTAGAGAGGGCTGCTTGACCGTGGCCTATTTACTGAGGCGGAAAGTCTGGTTCAGACCGCAACTTACGGTCAACGTCCACTAATCGAGAAGCGACGATACGATTTTATTGGATCCATTAGGAGTATTTTAAAAAAGCTTACTAACAGAGACAGAGGATATTAATTTTATCGGATCCACCCAAAGCGAGTAAACACCGCTAGGAAACTGTAAAATAGCGCGCAAACGTGAATACATTAGGTGCATAGGCGAATATAATAACGGCACGAGCGTCACCGCTATCAGCAATATACACAGCGACAAAATGCCGATAAAGGTCTGCGCTACCGTTAAAAATAGTTGCAGACGGTTGCATATGTTGCGGGAGCCGTGTATCACGTCAACGAATGGAATTTGAAAAGTGGTTTGGAGAAATTTAAACTGTTTACGTACGTCTGTTCTAGGAGGAATGGCTGAATGAGATCGAAGGGCGAAACTTTTGGGATAAACTTGGAAAAGATTCCGTAATATTGATTAAAATTATCTAGAATTCTCTGAAAGGAAAAGTGGGTTGCGAGTTGCCTTTCTCGCTCTCTCCGAATTTCGTCCTTACAGGAGTTTCAAAGGATGTCATTAACGGCAAAAAATGGCTGCCAGACTACCTTAACCTTTTCGTGAAGTATCGCAAGGACAGATTACCTAAAAGTAGTCTCACTACATTTCGCAATGCCAAATTTAATCCTTAGATTTCCTGTATTGCGAGAAAATTAAGCAAAACAAGGCTTTGAAACTTCCTGCGAGTTCAATCTAGAAAGATGAGAATATACTAACAAAATCCTAGGCAAAATTTTGTTAAGAAATCTTGTTAACAAAAAAAGACGATAGAAAGTTGGACTGCATTTTGAAAATAATGAGGAACTACAATTTACTTCTGGCTGATTTAGAAACAATGCACGCATCATTATTTTCTTCATGCACATAAGTATTCTTCGGAAGAGCGAGAAATTGTAGTTCCTAATTGGACCGAGTTTAACAGAAAGGAACCAAGCCACATCAGCTGTTGCCAAAATTAACTGGGCAATTCAATTTTTTATGAAAGAACGTTTGTGCGGATTTCTGTGAAAATGATAAGGAATTTGTTTCGTACTATGAAAAAAATTCACTGAAATTTGCACGAAAATCCGCACTTCTGTTTTCATGTAAAAAATTAAATTTCCTAATCAAATTTGGCAATAGCTGATGTGGCTTGGTTCCTTTCTGTCTAACTCGGTTCGATTGCAAAATATAATTCGATCAGACGACGTTACTTGCGGTTAGTCAGATTCTGGTTAACGAAGGCGCGATGTTCAAACACCTGGACGACTTTTTGGCATTTCAGGTAAATATCACATATACGCACGCCGAGTCGTGACGAGTCGGGGAGACAATCGAGGAGAAACGCGATGACGTCACGAGGTCCCGTAGACAGAATCGTGATCGACCTGGAGGATGACATCCCGGCGAGCGTCGGGCAGGAGAGCGCCCACGACCCTCTCGGAGTCCCCGAATCCACCAGAGGAAAGTGCAAGAGGAAATTCGACGTCACCCCCTCCGAGATAGACTACGAGCCTCCTCAGAAAGAACGTAAGTGTAAAGGCTAAGAGAGCAACGTCCCGATGGTTAATCGAGCCACGAGATAGAGCGATACTGATTTGACTAGAGTCCCTTTATACTGAGATTCAAGACAATGTGAATCCATTCCTGATTGGTTCCCGTATTTTAGGCCTCCACAGTGTCACAAACGGGAATAAAGATTACATTTTCACCGACTGCAAAGATGATATTCTGGAATGGACCAGGGAATTACGGGTTCGGCAAGGAACAAACGGAATGAGCGAAGGAACGGAGAAAGGAATTTGAGAATGGGCCGATCAAAGGTTACGAAAAACGTTCAATTTCTGTAATCTTGATTCCCGTTTGTGACTCCATGAGGGGATGTTGTCTTGACTCTCAGTATAAAGGGACTCTGGATTTGACTACATTTTGATATTTATTGGAGCTAAAATTTCTGGCTCAGTTTAAAAACAACGCACGTGCCCTTAGTTCCCCTACAGACATAAGTGTTTTTAAGAGCGAGCCGGAAATTTGAGTCCCCAAATGCAAAATGTAATTCAATTAAAGCACAACAAGACATGTTTTCTCATCACTCTTTTTGGGTTTTTGTCACGCGCAAAGTTTGAATTGGCAGGTACGTACATCGCTAATTGCGCACCTGTAGGTTGAAGTTGGGAACTTTAAATATATCTACAGAGTTCAAAATTTCGGCATTTAGGCAATTCAATTGAATGGATTGCCTAATTTTTTACCCTGTCAAGTGGTATATTGTCGATTGGTATTCGATTATGGGTTGAAAAGATACGATAAAAAACGGGGGACGAAAGTATACGAGTGAGGTTCGAAACCTTCATGAAAGTCTATTTAATGGGGTGAAATGGAGATCCTTGGTATCAACCGTTATACCTACCCCAAAACCACTCATATTCGCAGCTACGGCCTTCGAAAAATTGGTGTTTTTTAAACCTACTTAATTCCGAAGAGAAGCGGTCAAATTTTCGGTAGAATAAACAAATTTCATTTCGACCCCCATTATCGGCTTCTAAAATCTTCGAACTTTCTTTTGAATCGATACCTTGAATGAAAAGTGAACGAGGCGCTTTCTGCGAGAGAGTTTAAAGTGTGAGAAATTCGACGGCCGTGATTCGGATTCGAACGGACTCGACGATTCAGAAACAATTAGACAAAGCAAAAAAATTGGATCTTTAATCAATGAATAGTCACGCCACTAGACGAGGGAAATGATAACCTCACCGACAAGGCCTTTGAGCAACAAAAGATGAATCGACCGATTGTGCGGCCTATTTTAATTTATGAAATCGATTTTACTGTATATTGATACACTTTCACTAGTTAACTGAGACAGAGTTTTCCGGGATAGGAGAGTAGCAGAAATAAACCGATTGATTACCCTTGACTTTTTTATTGATTTTTTGACAGGCTGGGGTCGGAGACCGCGTCCACATTTGACGTCAGACCATTTTCCGCTTTTTGGGATGAGCATTTCCTTGGATTTTCGAATTCTCTGACTAAGGGGATTTTCAATAGTTCGGGGAGGGGTGCATGATTGCTAATACTTATTCTTTTCCCCAAAAAATTTAAGTGTAAAGCCTCTTGCAATAATTGATATAATGGGTTGTTTTGGCTGCAAGAAAAGTTGCCTCTCTCGTTCTACCGGGTCCTTCAAGTGCCTGTCACGCAAACCCTAGTGCAATCTTTAGCAGATGCCCTTATAATCAACTTGCCACGCTCATTATAATAGGCCCTTCAAGTGCCTACAATGCACCCCTAATGCAATTTTTAGCAAATTCAAGGCAAAAGCTTGCCCTCCTATTTAAGTGCCTGACGTCATTTATGGACGACCCCTGGTCCCAGGTGCCTGATGTTATCTTTAGACGACCCCTTCCTTGGCCCTCACTTCAGTCAGGCATCCCTGGACTTAGCCGTCCCCGAGTAGAGTACCTGTATAGCGAGAGTATGGACGGATGTGAAACTCCGAAAATCCATCAGGCCTTCACCGATGCCTCCGTGAATAAAGTTCGGGCCCAGAAATGCAGCCAACCTATGAATTTCAATTATCCAGAGCGATTTATTGATACAATTATTACGAACCATCGTTTATAAAGCATGTATTTGATTTAGTTTTTGCATAAATTTACTAATTCTTGTGGAAGAACGCTCATTTATGTACTTTCTTAGCCATCTTCGTTAGAATTGGAATCTACAGACTGTCAGTGAAATTTTGTGCGTTAGAAGTTGGTTAGAAGGGTGGCTGCACTTTTGGGCCCTAAGCCCTCCATGAACCGATCTGTCCATACTCTCGCTATACAGGTACTCTATCCCCGAGGTGCCTGACTTCATAGACCTCTGACAACTGCCACGTTGGACCATTTCCAGGGTGCGTGGAGGCGATGCTGGAGATGTCGACCGAGCTGGAGTGCCCGGTGTGCATGGCCTGCCTGAGCCCGCCGATCCGGACCTGCTGGCGCGGGCACGGGATCTGCCGGGCCTGCGTGGGGCGCGTCAAGTCCTGCCCGCTCTGCTCGTCCAAGCTCAACCCCAACCAGAACACGACCCTGGACAAGCTCGTCTCGCGGCTCCTCCTCCCGTGCGCCTTCCGCAAGTTCGGGTGCCCGAGGGTCCTCGGCGTCGCCGGGAAGCTCGCCCACGAGAACGAGTGCCCGCTCCGGGTCCTCGAGTGCCCCGTCTCGGTCGGGTGCCCGTGGCGCGGGAAGCAGGGCGAGATGGCCGCACACCTCCGCCGCGACCACGCCGCCAACTGCACCCTCATCGACTACGACCAGAAGATCACCCGCCGCATGGTCTTCTCCGACGACTTCCACGCCGGCGGCTTCCAGAACGCCAGCGTCAACTCACTCATCGTCATCGACAACGAGGTAACGTACCACACGAAGCAGGCAGACTGCGGGCTGATTATTGGCATTGATAGACAAAGAGGACAAAGTGAAATGAAGAAATACTACGGGTTGACACGGGTGGTTCGTATATGCTAGGAGATAAAATAATGGATTAACTACAGGGTCTCTCGCGGGTTGCCGTTAGTCATTCTATAACTCCATCTTCTTGTCCGTTCATCTTTGTCAATTTCAACCACACACTTCCGCCAATTGGATCGCTCCATTTTCCCCTTGCCTGCTTCGTCTATCGAAATCAATAATCAGCATCAATAATGTTGGGAGTGTTCAAAATAAAAAGAGGCCCTCCACTACCTTCTTGGCGATAGGTGGACGATCGCCTGTTCTGCATCGAAGCATGGTGCGATGCGATGAGAGACTGATTTACGAAAATCGAGAAAATCAAGATAGAGATATGCTTCCGCCGTAAATGAAGTCATGTATCATGATTTCATGATTTCAAAAGAGAGGTGTTTCCTCCTTTTCCTTGTCAGATCTTTAAATTGATTTACACACCAAGAGGAATCTTCAATCTCGCGAATTCTCGTTCAAGTGACGTATTCGCATAAATTTAAAACAAAAAACTGTTGATGCAGTTTGTATATTACTTAAGGAAGATATCATGTTAAGGAGAGATAATTTTTACGACAAGGAGGAAAAGTGGACTGCTATCGAGCCGGCTTCGCTCCTTGGAACTCAACACGCTGACTTCCTGCACCAGGGGTCATTGACGTGGTTAGGTTAGAAGTTTTTGATGCATATGACTGCAATTTTTTTAGGGAGGGAAAAGGAGGTCCACTGATTCCAAAGAAACGAGAAAAATCATCGTGTCTTTAAGAAAATGACCGATTGAATCATAAAACAGAAAATTTTGGTTTGTGGACCAGGGCAACTACTACTAACAAGTCACTCTTAGAGCGCTTCTGTGCGCTCTGCGACACCCAACCGCCACTGATAGCGATCCTGCCAGTGCTCCTCCGGCAGATCGCACCTTCTCATTTCCTGCCTCATTCCCTTAATCCACGATTTGGCAGGGCGTCCTCTACATCAGGGATTTAGAGCTGAGGTTTGAGGGAGCATCATAAACGGAGCCGCATCGGCGCGCGAGGCGGAGGCCCGGCGCGGACTTTCATGCCGCTTCGATCAGTGCGCCGGGGGAGCGCATATGCCGTTGAGGCGGCTTCACCTGGTGAAGCCGACTCCCGGCTCCTTTTCTGATGCTGCATCAGTTTTGATGCTGAGTCCAGCATCAAAATTAGCGGCTTCAATTAGCAGACGCGTCGGACGCCAGC